AGTCTTCATTTCTCTGGGATAAATGCCAGGAGTACAGTTGGTTGGTATGGTAGCTGCATGTTTAATTTTATAAGAAGCTGCCAAACTTGTTTTAGAGCATCTGTGTCATTTAACATACTCTCATCAGCAGTGTGAGTGATCCAGTTTCAGCATATCTTTATCAGCATTTGGTATTATTACTCTTTTATTTTAGCCATTCTGATAGGTGTGTAGTGACATTTCAACATGGTTTAATTTGCATTTTCTTAATAGCTGCTGCTGATGAACATCTTTTTATGTGTTTGTTTGCCATCTCTATTTTATCTTCTTCAGTGAATGTCTGCATGTCTTGCTCGTTTTCTAATGGAATTTGTTTTTCTACCATTGAGTTTTTCCTTTGTGGATCTTGCTCTTGCTGTCAAGTCTAAGAACTCTTTTCCTAGCTCTGTATCCTGAAGATTTTCTCCTATATATTTTTCTTAAATTTTCATATTTTACATTTAAGGTTCTCATTCATGTTGAGTTTGTGTTTGTATAAGGTGTGAGATTAGGTCTTGTACTTTTTTGGCAGGGGTTATTGATGTCGTTTTACTTTAGCAACATTTGTTGAGAAAGCTTCACCCCACCCCACTGAATTACTTTTTGTACCTTAATCGGACAGACAGCAAGAGAGAGGGCGCACAAGCAGGGGGAGTGGCAGGGAGAGGGAGAAGCAGGCGCCCTGCTGAGCAAGGAGCCTGATGCAGAACTCGATCCCAGGACGCTGGGATCATGACCTGAGCTGAAGGTAGACGCTTAACTGACTGAGCCACCCAGGCGCCCCTTGGGTTCTCTTTTCCCTTGATACACATGTCTGTTTCTTTGCTGATACCATGCAATCTTGACTACTCTAGCTATATAATAAGTTTCCCCCCATTTTTTTTTTGACTTTAAAACGTTTTAGCTATTCTAGTTATTTTGCCTTTCCATCAAAATTATAGAATAGTAGTGTCTATATATACAAAAAACTTTTGCTGGGACTTTGATAAGAATTATGTAAACCTATGTATCAATTTGGGAAAAAATAGCATCCTTATGAGTCTTCCATTTCAAAAACACTTTTATTTAGATCTTCTTTAATTTCTTTCATCTGCATTGTATAGTTTTCAACAATCTCCTTCATGTTTTGTTAGGTTTGCAACTCTTTCATTTTTTTTTTCCTAAAGATTTTATTCATTTATCTGACAGCACAAACAGAGGGAGAAGCAGGCTCCCCACAGAGCAGGGAGCAAATAAATTCAGCTTTTAGTTTTGGATATTGAATAGCATTATCCTTTCTTTCTTTCTTTTTTTTTATAAGGCTTTATTTATTTGTCAGAGAGAGAGAGCACGCACACACAAGCAGGGGGTGTGGCAGGCAGAGGGAGAAGAAGGTGAACAGAGAGCCTGTTGCGGGACTTGATCCCAGTATCCTGGGATCATGACCTGAGCCGAAGGCAGATGCTTAACTGACTGAGCCACCCAGGCGCCCCTGCACCTCTTTCATTTTTTTTCCTTTTTTATTTTAGTAATTATAAATGGTATTGCATTTTTAATTTTGGTGTCCATGTGTTCATTGATAGTATATAGAAATACAATTTATTTTTGCATGTTCATCTTGTGTCTTGTGACCTTGCTGAATTCACTAGTTAGTACTAGGAGGGTTTTGGGGGGGTTGTTTTTTGGGGGTTTTTTTGTAGCTTATAGAATCTTCTCTGTAATCAGTCATGTCATCTGCAAATAAGGAGAGTTTTATTTCTTCTTTTCTCATCAATATGCCATTTATATCCTTTTCTTGCCTTGCTGAATTGGCTAAAACTTGCAGCACTTTGTTGAGTGAGAATAGTGAGAGCGGGTATCTGCCTTGTTCTTGATTGTAGGAGGAAGGCATCTGTCTTTTACCATTAAGTATGTTGTTAGCTGTAGGTTTTTGTAGATCCTATTTATCAGGTTGAGGAAGTTCCCTTCTATTTCTGTTTTTCTGAGAACTTTTATCATGGGGGTTAAATTTTGTCAGATGCTTTTTCTCCATTGAGTAATATGCTCATATGATTTTTCTTAGCTTGTTAATGTGGTAAATTATACTGATTAATTTTATATATTGAACCAGCCTTGCATCCCTGGAAAAAACCCTACTTGGTCATGGAGTATTAATTCTTTTTATATACTGTTGAATTCTTTTTGCTAGTATTTTGTTAAGGATTTTTGCATCTGTTTTAATGAGGGATATTGATTGGTAGTTTCCTCTTTTTATACTGTTGTTTAGTTTTGACATAAGTTAATATCAATTTCAAAGATAAATTGGGCAGTATTTCCCCTCTGCTATTTTCTAGAAGGGATTGTGTAGAATTGGTGTAAATTCTTTAAATAATTGGTAGAATTCTTGAGAAGCCATCTAGACCTGGAGATTTCTTTTTGGGGGTGGAGTTTTCAAGTTATGAATTTAATTTCCTGAATAGTGACAGGGCTATTCAAATTATCTATTTCATATCGAGTGTGTTTTGGTACTTTGTGTTTTTTGAAGAATTGGTCCATTTCCTCAAAGTTGTTGAATTCGTGTGTGTGGATTGTTTGTAGCATTCCCTTATTATCCTTTTGATTGGAGAAGACAGCTTTGACTAACCCAAATACAGCTTAGAAACTGGGGTCAGTCCCCACAAGTTGCATGGCTAATACAATAATAGTAAGGTGACAACTGGAAGGATAATTGGGTTATTGATAGGAAACTAGAAAATTCTGGGTATACAACCTTCAGTGTCAGATCAACTCTAATTTTCTATAGAATGTCATTTGCCGGTTTTATGTGATTACTCTTTCAGATAAATTTTAAAGTCAGTTTGTCAAGTTTCAAAATAAATTCCTTTGGGGCCTAGGATTAAATTTATAGATTAATTATAAGGATGTGTGTGTGCAGGTTCCCACAGGGAAGGAATCAGAGTCAATGTTAAAGTATGCCTGAAAAAAAACCTTCTCTGCTTTCTGTTGCCTCAGAAAGTCATCATTCATTTTTTGCGTCATGTGCTAGTAATTATTTAGACTTGGTTATAACTTTTTATTTGCAAGTAATTTCAAACAGAAAAAAGTGCAAGAATACAAATTGATTTTTCTGGTTTCTCTGTTCATTGTTTTTTGAGTACCACATCATCCTCTTATTTTAGCATTAGTTAATTTCACTGCTATACATACTTGGGCCATTCTTTCAGAAGAATGTGTGGTAGGTTTTGAGGCCTTGCAATGCCACCCAAAAAACATTTACCTTATAAACACAAAGTATCTACACTTTAATGCTAGTGGATGTTGAATTCTAGATTAAAATGCATTTCTTTGAGAATATTGAACAACTTGCTTCGTTGTTGAGAAAAGAGAATGCTGGGACACCTGGGTGGCTCAGTCAGTTAAGCGTCTGCCTTCAGCTCAGGTCATGATCCCAGGATCCTGGGATTGAGTCCCACATCAGGCTCTCTGTTCAGCTGGGAGCCTTCTTCTACCTCTGCCTTCCGCTCTCCCTGCTTGTGCGTGTGTGCTCTCTTTCTCTCTGACAAATAAATAAAATCTTGAAAGAAAGAAAGAAAAGAGAATGCAATTCAAGATCCAAAACTATTTGATTTTTGCTTGCTAAGCCAGGTGTAGCTGTTTATGTAAAATAATCTCTCTGAAGAAAGCAGGAAGCTCATCTAATAAATTCAAGAGTGAGTTAGGCTTGTAATTTTCCTTTCTTTGTTCTGAAAGAGTTTGTATAAATTGGAATTACTTGTTCTTTGAATTTTAATAGAACTTGCATGTAAACCAAGTGGTCCTGATGTTCATTATGGGAAGATTTCTTAATGACTGATTAAATGTTACTATTTTAATTTTAATTTTTCTTATTTTTGTATATTTTAGTTTCAGATTTAGTGATAAAGTTGTTTTTAATATTGCCAGGTGATTTGAATGTCTGTAGCATCTCTAATTATGACTCCCTTTTTATTCCTAGTATTTGGGTGTGTTTTTTCCTTTTCTCATTTATAAGTCTTGCCAGAACTATGTCCATTTTGTTAGTCATGACAAAGAATTACCTTTTTGTTCTGTTGAGGCTTTCTTCTATATCATTGTTTTCTGTTTCATGAAATTCTACTTTTATTTGTATTATTTCATTTTTTCTACTTTATATTGTTCTATGTTTCTAACTGCTTAAGACATCCAGTTCATTAATTTATTTCAAGGTTTTCTTGCTTTTCTGACGTAACTATTTACAACTAGAATCTCTTTCTATATATTCCTTTTGCTGCAGCCGACAAGTTTGATTATATAAAGTTTTTTTATTACTTTAGTCCTCTAAGTATTTTCACAATGCTATTATAATTTCTTCTTTGACACATGAAGTTTTAGAAGTTCCCAAACAGGAGGTTTTTAACAAGCTCTTTTTGTAATGATTGTCAGAGAATATGGTTGTAGGATAACCAAGTCCATGAAAGTTACTGAGACTTTATCACCTCACATTGGTAATTTTTATATATGTTCCATTTGTATTCTTCTGCTTAGAAGTAATATTGGTGTATGCTTATTAGATCAGACTCACTGGTTTTGATGTCAGTTCTTATCTAGCCTTATTAATTTTTTTGTATCCTTGACTTATTACTGAGATAAGGTTAAAAATTGTCCTCTGTGACAGTGGATTTGTCACATTTTTTTTGTGGTTCTGTCAGTCTATTTTGGAACTATGTTAATAGGTACATATAAGTTTGGCTGTTACGTATATTTAATAAAACCTTCAATTGTATAGTGAACTTCTTTATTACTGGTAATGGTTTGCCTTAATGGTTTGCTCTTTTTGTGTATTATTAATATAGCTACACCAGTTTTGTCTTGGTTAGTATTAGTATTGCCTGTTTTTGTTCATGTTTTTTTCATATTTTTCCTTTCAACCTTTCAGTTCTCTTACGTTTTTACGTGTATCTTTTTTGAAAAGCTCGTAGACTACTCCTAGACCTTATAAAAATGTTTTGTGTGTGGTTACAGTGTAGCTGAAGCTGCTGAAAGATGGCAGAAGAAGTGGTGGTAGTAGCCAAATTTGATTATGTGGCCCAACAAGAACAAGAGCTGGACATCAAGAAGAATGAGAGATTATGGCTTCTGGATGACTCTAAGTCCTGGTGGCGAGTTCGAAACTCCATGAATAAAACGGGTTTTGTGCCTTCTAACTATGTGGAGAGGAAAAACAGTGCTCGGAAAGCATCTATTGTAAAAAATCTAAAGGATACCTTAGGTAAGTTATTTTTGTATTAAAACACCAAATAATACTTTATTTTAAATGGATGCTGGAGCTTGGTTCTTTGTGTAGAATTTTGGCAGCATTGGGCAGAATTGACTAGAAAAGGCCAAGACTAGAATTTCAGCTAGGCCGGGTAGGTTTGCTCATAGCAGGGATTCAGCCAAGTCAGAAGAGCAGTAAAGTCCATAAGTGTTAGTGGGCAGTTTCTATAAATCTAACTGGTGTTCAAGGGCCAGACCAGGGTGGTGCCCATGAGCGGACTGAATCTGATCCTGTAGCTAGGACCCCTTGAACTGTGAGTGCCTGTTGGGGTTTATGTAAATTCTGCGTCTAATTGAGACAGGGATAAATGAGGGAGATTCAGAATTGCCTCCTTGGCATTAAGGCAGTTTTTTTTAACATGGCACATTGCTGTATTTTAACCTTTAATAGCTTACATTTTGAATTTTGCTTTTAAAAACAAACCATCATTTTGTTTTTGCATTTGATAAGAGAGTTTTAAATTGTGGATTATTACTGTAGATTACCATCTACAAAGCTGATTTCTTTTTCTTTTTCCCCCCTTTTTCTTCCTCTAACTGTAAAGTTTGTTTGTTTTTACTAGCTCTCCATTAGGGCCAGAGATAATGGAACCCGCTTCACAGTGGGCTTGGCTGAGCTGATAGGAAGGAAATATGCACAGATGAGGACTGGCCTCTTTCTTTTTTCTTTTAATTAAACTCTACTTGGCTGACAGGAAGGAATGGGAGGGACAGAATTTCATTTTTGGTATTCAGGCAAACATGCTGTTACTTAATGGTTCTTTGTATATATGTGGATGAGAAAGTAAAATTTCTCTTTGCAGAAATAGTTTGGGAGTAATGTGGCATGTTTGACAAATGTGAAATATTATTGACCAACTGCTTTATATTAGCTTTATTTTTATTCAGCATTATTGTTATTCTAGAGTATTCTTTCAGATACCAGCAATAGATGACAAATCTTTTATTTTTAACACTGTAAAATAGCCAAAACCAAAATATAGTACGACTCAAAGTAAATATAAAATATTTTAATAATGGTTTGTGAGTGAATAACATTTCTAGTATTCTAAAGGTAGCTTAATAAAGGGAGTTATTAATCTGGATTTTCACCATGACTTTTAACTGCTGTTTTTGAGGTTATCTTTTATTAAGATTTTAATAATTAGCAAATAAGACCATTATTATTAGTTTTTAAGTGAATGATAAATCAGAAAGAGATTATCCTTGACAAGCTGAAGAGACCATAGTGAGAGCCAGGAACTTCTGATTTTGTAAATGTTGGACACTTATTTAAAGCATGTAGATCAGATATGGGGAAAATTAAGGTAACTTCTATGAAGGAAGTATGAAGTGATGAAGGCACAAAAGGATTAAGGCTACACCTAGGTAGACTTTTTTGTTCCTTTTTAAAAGGATACTAGTTTCCTGGGACTAGAGCAAATGTTTAAACAGATCGTGAAAAACGTATTATCATAGAGCAAAATGGAAATATATCCCAGTTTTAGATAGCACTGCATATAAACTTATAAAGCCCAACTGGTTAGAATTTTTATTATTTGTTAATACGCCTGGGAAACCTTCCATACTATTTTCTGATATTATTGAGACGATTTTGGAAAGACTTTATATCCATTTAAGTCCAAAATATCTCTGTTAACTTTATTACTATATTATAGTTATTGCTGCCTATATTGCAGGATACTTGAAAACATTGTTTTAAGTTAATGATCTTTAGTTCTCCTGTATAATGATGTAATTCCAGCTTTTGTATCAGATAGCCTTCTCTTTCTCAGAATTTCTGAACCCCTTTTTGGTAACTTAAATGTCCTATGTGGTTAATGGATTTGTTTCACAATGATTGTGCTGGTGGAGACATTGTTTGAAAAATAAGAGAAAAAGGAGAAGACAAAGGAGAGAGTGAATGCATGAATATATTTTCAACTATTGAAAATATATGCTTTAAAGCGTCTTCCAAAATAAGTTTGAACAATAAAGTAACATTTGTGGCCATGATGATATACTTGTTTTACAGGTTGTGTTATAGTTCGGGGGGGGGGGATGTTTTAGAAAGAGAGAAGCCTCAGAAAAACTTTCTGTTGCCTGAGTGTAGGCCAAGTCACATGGATTGGGTGTGGGGAGTTTCATTGTTGCAGAACAGACCAGACCAGGAAGCTCACTGAGAATTATCTGAGCTGTGTTAACAAACTGACAAAAGAGAACTCGGGATTTTTATTCAAAATGGATTGGTTAAACGTCTTTAAAGATTTTTTCAGTAAGTTCATCTGTTTATTAAGTCCATAGTTTTCTTGTAGTTTTTGAATTAGATTTTTCACTTTAAAGAGTATGGAACCTGGTATGTTTATATAATAGACTGGTGCTTTATACTGTTTATGAAACATAAGCTAAATGATTGGTGATACTTCAAATAATATTAGTTTTGACTTGATAAGTAGTATGGTTTTAAAATGTTTTAGTATCACTGTTTAAAAATAAAGAGACAAAGGATATAAATGAGTTTGCAGTTTTAATTTGGTAACTTTGAACTTAGCATAGACATATTTGAAGTGAATTAAATTATAACATTAAAAATATGAGGAAAGAAAGGATTAGGTGAGCAAGTTCCTTCATCCTCAGTATTTGAATTAACATTGTTTTAGTACTTTTTACTTAGATTTTAGAGGAACAATATAGAAGGTAACATTTAATAAAGCAGTAAAGAGAATGTTTTGATTTAATCAATGTAGGATTGCTGGAAATGGTTCTTTTGGTAATTGTGAGATTTGATATTTTGAAATGAGTCTTGAGAGCAGCTGCGTACAAAGAAAATGAAAGCACTGAAAGAAACTAGTGAATTATTGGGATTGTTTTGAGTCCGGGTCATAATGTAATACTGATACTAACTTACCAGAGTCTAATGTGTATATTTGCTGATGGCCTTTATATGATCTTATGATAGTGAACTTGATTTGATCTCTTTGAACATTTGTTTGGTGTTTCTAGAAAAATGAACAGAGGAGTTGTTGTAGAAGTCTCATGCATAAGGAATCTAAGGAAACAAAGAGTAACCTGTTGAGAGATTTCATTTTCAGTCAGAATGGAAAAGGAGCAAGTACTTAGTTGAGAAAGAATATTGTAATTGTAATATTAAGATTCATTTGTTTCTTTAGTTAACTTTGGTGGCCAAGTGAATCCTTCTGGATTATCTCTCTTTTGTTTACTTTTTGGAAAGTTAATACATTTTTAGATCCACTTTTTGGGTTAGTTTTCCTTTTGGAAAGTTACTAATTTATTCACTTGTTTATCAACATATTTTTCTTGAAAGCCTACTGCATGCCAGACAAAAATCATAGAATGAAAAACTAAGACTAACTTGGATAAAATTTACATGGTGAGGAGGTAGATGGGGATTGTTATTTAATATACAGTGGATTTCATATCTTGGTTTGGTTATAAGTGATGGTCACTTGGTGGTCATAAGTGACCATAAATCAACCAGAAATGGTGTAAAAAGAACCATTGATACAGTGATTCATTATATACCATCAGTACAATGATAAAATTATCATTCTCTCTGTTGTCTCAGAAAGTCGATAATCTTCAGTACATTTGTAGACCTGAGGGTCTGGGTTTGAGAGTTGCAACCAAGATACTCCTTTTTTCATTACCTGCAGCAAGCCAAAATTTGTATTTATTTTGCTTTGCAGTAGAAGATAAAGTAAATGTGCTCCTTGTGTGGTGGCTAGAGTAAACAAAGAGGGTACAGTATTTTAGATAAAACAGAATAATCAAAAATAATAATTTATCTTATTTCATGTAGATGAAATGAACAGATAAAAATACAAAAATTTAAATAAAAATTTGTAATGGAAAGAACACCATATATTTGTATTTAGAATTCCCTAGTTTTGCTCCCAGATGTACCACTTATTTAACCATGTGGCAGAGGGTATATAACTAAACTTTCCTGATTTCTTATTATTTGTGAAGGAGAGTTGGGCAAGACTAGATGATCCTGGAATGTCCCTTCTAACTCTAAAAGTGTTATAGTCCTGGTAAAACAACTGATCAGTCTTACATGTGATAGAAATCAAGGGAAAATCCATGAGGGAGAAGCTGGTTTTGAAGAAGTAGGAATGTAAAAACCAGAACTACAGTTCCTTAAAGAATTAGAATCAGTAATACTTTCTTTGGCCTCATTCTGTTGAACATTTATTTAGTCAGTGATTTAGATGGAGGGAAGATGACATGCTTAAAGAAAAGAAGACTAAGGCCAAAAGAATAACTAATAAATTTAGTTCAGATATATATTTGAAAGGTAAAAACTGAGATAGAAATAAATAAGGTGAATAGGGACAGACATTAATAATGTAAAATTCTACATTAAGGTTTTTTCTTTTTTAAAGATTTTATTTATTTATTTGACAGAGAGAGACACAGCGAGAGAGGGAACACAAGCAGGGGGAGTGGGAGATGGAGAAGCAGTTTTCCCACGGAGCAGGGAGCCTGTTGTGGGGCTTGATCCCAGGACCCTGGGATCATGATCTGAACCGAAGGCAGATGCTTAAAGACTGAGCCACCCAGGCGCCCCTCTACATTAAGTTTTTAAAAGAAATTGAAAAGATTACTGAGAACCTGGCCTGGCAGAATTTTATATGAGTAAGAGCTGCTGTGAGGTCATGATCTTGGGGTTGTGGGATTGAGCCCTGCATTGGGCCCCACACTGGGTGTGGAGCCTGCTTAAGATTCTCTCTCCCTCTGCCCTTCCCCCCATCTAAAAATTAAAAAAAAAGAAAGACTACTATGATACTGTGGGTGCTAAAGAATTTCAATGCAGTGCATGAAAAATCTATGTAGTTCAAGTGAAAGGATGCAAATAGCTACTTTATGTGTGTGCTGGCCAAATGAAACATGACATAGTTTATCCACTTTGGATAGGTATACTTTAACAGTGGTATTGAGAAACTTGGAAGT